CAAGAAAAAATCTGCTCCCAAGTCACTGGCACTAGCAGCATGTCATTGTGTCCCAAAATCCAACAACACGTGCCTGTGGAGGATGTGCCCATTCCCTTCCTCTTCAGATAAGGCCAGGGACATTGAGCCCTATGGCTCTGTCTCCCCTGATGGGAGCAGGGGACCTCCTCTATCTATCAGCTTCCCTCTGGAGTGCTATGAAGATGAGCAAGGCACCTCCAGAGTGCCTATATTCCCCAGGGGATGGGTGTTCCCCTTCCCCACAGCACTGCACTAAATTTCCAGTCCCATTCCAGACCAAAATGGGCACTGAAAAAATAAAAAAAGTGCACTCAGGACAGAATTTTTGCTTCTTCTCCTCCCAGAGATTGAGAACAGAATGAGTTTGCTCTGTTTTTCTGATATTAACTCTTCCATGTAACCTTTTCTTCTCTTTAATCAAATCTACTTGGAAATGGAAAATTGTGCTAACATAGTAAACGTGGTAAGGAGCTAGAATTAATTCCCATTGGAAAAGCCAGGATTGAACCCATCAGTACATACAGAACCAAAGGGTGCTTTGGAAAGCAGGGAAGGACCAAGCACCAGGTTGCAGCTGGGGCTACTTTGTCCCCTCAGATAGTGCTGGGAGATGCACCAGTTAGGGAACACTGAAATTTCCCTGGTTGTTACCACACAAAGCACACCAGTGCCCTGCCAGCTGCCTGAGTCATCTTTGTCACCTTCCCCCCACTGCTGGGGATGTGATGGAGCTAGTGATGGAAATGTTTGGGATGATGGATGTTCCCATGTGTCTGGTTACCAGGAGCTGCAGCAGCTCCCCAGACTGGCTGTAGGACGTCAAGGTGTCTGTCTCAGCCTCCATCCCAGAGTCCTCCCCATCTCCATGCTCAGTTGTGCACCACCGGAGCAGCCATGCTGTGAGCCCACTGGAAAGAACGTGGCTTGTGGTGCTTCTGCACATAATAATTCAGCTTCCCACAGTGGATCTCTGCAGGAGGAGGCAGCAGAGAAATCCCTCCGAGCAGGATAACATCACCTCTCCCAGAGGTGCCCTGGGAGAATCTCACCATGGCAGAGTGGGCCTAGGCAGCACCTGAGGAGGGTCTGACATCCTCCCACCTGCAAAAACACCCAGTGGAAGAGACAACCCATCTTCCAAATGCCTCGACAGTCCTATGAAGTGTCCCCCTGGCACCCTTTCCTTGCCAAGGGCTCAAAGCCACCCCGGAAGACACAGCCCAGCTGGGCCATGGTGCTTCTCCGAGCCGGTGACCTGGTGTGAACTTCCCTGCTGTGCTGTGTGCCAGCTGCGGCTGAGCTGGCCGGGGGGAGCCTTCCCTCCCCTCCAGCACCGTTTGGGGCTACACTCTTCCCTTCCCAAGACACCTCAGGGGGTCAAGTCCACTCCAGCAGGGATTTCCAGCTCCCATCCATCCAGCACATCCAGGGTGTGAGTGTCCCCCTCCAGCCCACACTGCAGATCTCTTCCGTGCTGGCACAGCCAGGACGCAGCATGGCTCCAGCAGCAAATCCACATCCCCACACCCAGGATGGTGCGTGCTGGGTTAATGTTTTCCCCATTACTTCACTCTGGCCTCTGTTCTTATGGAAAAAAACAAACCATCTGGTAATAATATTTCCCTAATGGCTGTCTGGGTCTGTGGGAAAGCTTGGCTCAGCTTCTTAGGGAAGATGAGAGGGTCAAATGAGAGGGGAGGTTGCGGATATGGCGTGGGAGCTGAAGGAGAGGAGATAACGCTTTCAGGATCCTTTTCCTGGGCCACCCCAGCTCTTGCAGGGATCCTCAGCTCACGGGGGAGCCACAGGATGCCAGGACGTCACACATTTGGAATACCCCACAGTGGAAGGGTCCCACTCTCTTCTTCTGTTGCACAGTGGAGGCTTGAAGGAAAATTCACTTCTAGGGCTTCCCCACCACCTCCACCTCCTCAGAAAATAGAAACAGCCCAAAGTGTGGAGTCTGGGGAGTTGGGAACATCATAGTTTGGGAACAAAACTGGCTCAAACTGGAAAGATCAGCAACACCTGCACTATCTTCCTGTTCTTGGAGAAAAGGCAGCACCCTGGGACATGCCACCTTGAGCCCTGGGGTCATCACTGGAGGGACAGGGGACAGAGGAGCCCCCTCTCGTGGAGCACATCCAGGAAAAACGGGTGGAAAAATACACTAACCCCACCAGCAGCTGAGCAGGGAATATTTTCCATCCTTCTGCAATTAAAAGGCAGGGTGTGGGCGATTCCCAGGGAGTGGAGAGTGCCTGCCAGGCTGGGCACATGTTCCCTGCAGAAGGTAGGCCCCAGATGCTCGAGGAACAGCCGAGCAGCCGCCAGACATGGTGCTGCCTCCAGCTGGGGGGACTGCAAGCGCTAGTTCTAGCCCCACGCTCCCAGAGCCCAGCCTGCAGCACCAAGCTGCCAAGGGATGAGCAGCATGGGTTGGAAACCTGCTTTTCCTCTGCCGTGGATTGCAGCCCCACCCTGCATCCGTGTGGATGCAGGCCTTAGGCCCCAAAGCCTTGGGAAGGATGGAGAAAGCATCTTCCTTGTTGGCTACCCTTTGCATATTTCAGGTTGCTTCCTGGCACAGCGCAGCACAGAGGCAGCTGGATCCTTTCCACAGTTTTCCATGGGGATGATCCACCCCAGCCCAGGAGCTTTCAGTGTCTAGCAAACTCCCAGAGGTCTCCAGTAGCCCCTTCCCAGGCTGTTCCTGCTCCAATTTTTATTAAGCATGCATGTTCATACTCGTTAATTTTACCACCCCAGCAGCCATCCAGGCTCGGTGTGTGTCTGTGCCCTTCCAGAGAGCTCCCAGGATGCAGCAAGGCATGCAGCCCAGTTCCCTCCATACCAAAGCCAGATCCAGCTGCAGCCTTTTCCTAGAAGGATGAAACAAGGCAGTCACACTTCCTGGCAAGAATGCCTGCCCAGCCCACTCCAAGCAGTGCAAAGCATCTTCCTTGGATCTTCCACAGAACGAGAAGCAAAGGCAAACCATCTCACCATGGAGAAGGGGGAATAACTTTACACAGAAAGTAGTTTTTTGTTGGATATATAGAAGGAATCCTTCCCTGTGGGGGTGGTGAGGCCCTGGCACAGGGTGCCCAGAGAAGCTGTGGCTGCCTCTGGATCCCTGGAAGTGTCCAAGGCCAGGATGGGCAGGGCTTGGAGACTGGGATAGTGGAAGGTGTCCCTGCCCATGGCAGGGGGGTGGAATAAGATGGTCTTTAAGGTCCCTTCTAACCCAAACCACCCCATGGTTCTAGGATTGCTCTCCTCAAGTCTATTTCCTCTGCTCCATGCAGCAGATCCCAGCACAAGCTGAAGCCAGGGGAATCACAGCAGGGTGTAAAGATAAGCATCTCCTTCCCCACCCCCTGCAAGTTTATTATTTTTTAGAGGCACAGCCAAAGGTAAACAGCCTGTTTTAATCTCCAAACACTCACCCTCTCAGCAGGAAGCCACAGAGCTGCAGCCAGCACAAGGGGCTGGATACAATGGATGGGACTGTGGGGCCTCTGCACCCTTAAATGCCTTCAGTGGGGCACAGAAGCTTCCTCTTGCGGCTGATAAGTCCTGCAGAGGGTAAGCCACTGCATGCAGGTGGTTCACATCCCTCTGCATCCCACCTCTGCAGCCTTGGCAGGGATTCAAGCCCTGTGCTGGAATGGGTGGCAGAACAACCTTTGGGGGTGTTTGCACACACAGCCCCACTGACTCCTTCCCTGGGGCTGCTCCCACCCTGGGCTGGCTCTGGCTCAGGGAAAGTCTTCCAGTTCAGCAAAGGCCATGGAAGGTGCTTTGTGGATGGCCCAGGGCTTGCAGGAAGGTGGGAAAGGACCCCTGAGCCACGTTTCCCAGAGCATTACTCCTGGTTGGCGACACTCTGCTTTGGGGTGGTCTGGCGCTGCTGCTCTGGGAACAGCAACGGGGACTTTTCTCCAAGTGAAAGCATGCAACCAATTCCTGGGCAGGCAAAACCCAGAAAACCTGGTTTTTAGTCAAAAGTGACTGCCACAGGCCTGGAGCTTGTTAGGGAGCAGGGCTGGGCACCCCAGCCAAGGGCATGTCAGAGGTGGCACAAACAGGGGGAGGATGACTTCCAGGCTTCACAGAGATTTAGGGCTGCTGCTCCCTAGGGGTTGAGCAAGGGTGTAAAGAAGGGTGAACTGCCCTGCCTGCCTGCCTACAGCCCCTTTGCAGGGCCAAATGTGAGCAGGGGTGATGTTCACTCAGAAAATATAATTCCAGATGGAGAAAAAAGTTTAATATAGCTTTTTTGACTTTGTTTCCACATAGGGCAGAGGTCTGGGCAGGCAGTGCTGGCCTCTCCTGGGTGTGTGTCAAGCCCAGGGCTGGATGGGCTGGAGACGGAGACCCTCACTGCACCAGGGCAACATGCAGAGCTGGGGAAGTGCTCTGGCTTCTCTTCTCAGGTAGAAAGGAGGCATCCCAAAGAAAAAACATGCCCCACTGTGTCCAAAAATAGCACCAGGGCTGCTCCAAGGTCCAGCAGGGCTGGCATGTGGCAGGCTGGTGGGACATGTTTGAGAGCTGCCATTGTGTGGGGCTGGATGGGGAGCCTGTATCCCATCTGGATTGCTGGCAGGGCCCGGATTGCTGGGCTGCTCCCAGGGCCCAGCAGTGACTCACTTGTTATAAACACGTCTCCCGATGGATAATGAATCCCGGTTGTCACTGCCTTTCGGGAACACTCTGGATTCTCTTTGTAGTGCTCCCCCTGTCCCGTTCCCCCTCCATCCTGGCAGCCCTGCTCCCATGTGGGATCATTTCCTGATGCTGAGTGGAGCCAGGGCTCTGAGGCTCATTTTCCAAACCACGGTCTGCTTCAGGGGCTGAGTTTCCCCATTAACCATTGCGGGGGCACTGAGGCCTTTGTGCTACGGGGGCACCCCCAGCACCCCACCCCTCTCCCTGTGGGTGCCAGCCTCATCCCAGTCACCACGGAGGGCACCTCAAGCAACAAAAGCTTTATTGCAATGACACGGATAAGCCACGAAATACATCGCAAAGCAGCAGGGGCGTGAGGGGCGATGAGGGAGCGCAGAAGGGGCGGTGGGAAGCACTGGCTCGCAGTGGGTACGCTGCACGCTGGCTGCAAGCTGCTGTCCTCCTGAGAGCTGCCTCCCCAGCCCCCCGAGCCCGCTGCTGCCCTGTGCCCTGGCCGAGGGAGCGGGCTCTGGGCAGCTGTGGGCCGGGGGCTCGGACAGTGGTCCAAGGATGCCATGAAGGAGTGGGAGAAGCTGGTGGGAAGCCGGCAACTTCTTTGGAGAGGGCTCAAGCATCAGCCACTGGCACTGGGTCGGCTGCAGCGCTCCGGTCAGGCGGGGAAGATGTTCCTCCCGTGGGGATCAGGGTCTGCAGAGCTGGGGGCAAGTGAGGGAGATGGTCAGTGTTCAGTCGAGGCTCCAGTACTGCTGCCTCCTGGCCTCCTGGGCCGCACAAACATGAGGCTGCTTCAACACCCCAAGCAGCTCTCCAGAGTGATGCTGAAATCACCCACACCCCAAAAAGCCAAGCTGGAGGAGCCATGCCCACACAAAGCTCTGCTACATGTCAACAAACCTCTCTTTTTTTCCATGAGAGCTCACACCAAACACATGCAGTGTGAACTGGGGCTGCCAGGTGAGTCTGGCTGGTTGCCCGGAGTGCTGCATTTGCCTCATGGACTCTCACTGAGGGCTGAGAGCTGATTTTTGGGAGCTTTAGAGAAGCCATCTGAACACACTGAGGCTGTTGCCAGGCTGAGGATCTGCCCTTTCTCTGCCCGACAGACCCATGGCTGCAGGGATGGTGACTGTGGAGAGCTGGTTCTGCTGGACCCCTTCAGCAAGATTTATGGGAGATGGGCAAGGGCACTGCTGAGTTGGGGGTAATGGGCAGATGAGAGAAGAGCACTGGGGAAGGGCACACATCCCCTACAGTCTCTGCCTGGCGCTGCACTGCACCCTCCTCTGCCTCTGGAAATCACATTTCAGCACAAAATATGTGGAGGGGAGGTCTACTTGCAGCAAGAATAAATTTTAGTCTGCAAGTAAAAATTTGTTTTAAGCCTGGAGATGGCAGTTTCTCTGGGTTTGCATTTTTAACTGGCTTTTTTTTTACTGCAGCACTCCTGGAAGAGATTTGGGAGCATGGCTGTGTGTTTGGTAGCACAGAGCAGCATCCCTTGGGAAAACCACAGCACCAGCTGCAGCAGCAGCCTCAGGTTAAATCACTGCAATGTCCTTCCAGCAAAAAACCCTCCACACTGCTAACTGACTGCTTTTGGGTGAGCACATCATGGCCTGCTCCTCTTTGCTCTGAGAAATCCTGTTTGGGATCTGTTGTGGTTTGTTCCCAAGCTGTGCACACAGTCCCGCGCTCCAGAGCAATGCTGCCCCATCTCTCAGTGCTCCATGTGCCTGGCCATGCTGCCAGCTGGCTGCTGGCCCATCACCACTGTGCCCACACTTCCACAGAGCATCCCCACCATGCCCACGCTCCTGTGGGGCATCCTGTGCCACCCAGTCCCATCAGACACAACAAAACCTGGAGAAGCTCCTGAGCCAAGGGCTTCTCATCCCATTTGATCCAGACACAAATGCTCTCAGACACAGGCTTTCTCCAGGGACAAACAGTGACACTGCCTGCAGGGAACCAGGACACAGCGCTCCAAGTGTTTTTCAAATATTCAAGTCTTCATGCACATCCTGGCCTATCCTTTTGGGATCAAAGCAGTTCATTCTGGAAACAGCATGTGTGTCCTGAATCAGCCACAGGCCACAGTTCAGTGTGGGGCTCACACCCAAATACTCCTCACGTTGCTCCATCCTCATCCCCATCTCCTGGCTGGTTTTGTTCCCCATGTGCAGAGTGGACTTGATCATAATTTCTGGGAAGAGACATCGCTGTGGTGAACTGCCTAAACACAAGTGTGGGAATCCAGAGCCAGTCTGGCTTTGCACTTGGCTGTATTTGGTCTGCAGGATGCTTTTGGAGCGATCTGGAATCTCATCTTCCCCTTTGCAGGACAATGATTGCTAGGGCAGAGTGGGAGGGGGGCCGCACATCTGGAGTGGAGGAAGTTGCACATCTGGTACATTCAGTACTTCCTAAAAGTTACTGCCACGTTACCCTTTGGACAGGGGCCTGCAGCTTGCTGCACACCACAGCAGATCAGGATCTGCAGCTGCATTCCTTTTGAAGGGAAGGCAAAAATATCTCTCTCAGCATAGTCCCAGCTCCCTGTAACATCCAGCATGGGAGCAGGGGGATTGCACAGAGACCTTGACATTTCTGCAGGTCATTCCAGCAGTTGCAGAGGCTCCTGCTACCAGCCAGGGCACAGAGCAGCCAGCTTGGGAATGCCTCCCTCGGGACCACACAGATGGAGACCCCTCCATCAAAACCTTATCCTTCTGCCAACCTAAGTGGACTCGGGCCAGCATAAGGGGGTGGCTTTGTGCCACCCATGGCCAAGGAGATGCTCACCACACATCCTTGCCCATGTGGGCTGGCTCCTTGAAGGTCCCAGCACTGACGGGACCATTCCTGCAGAGGGACACGGTGCCAGTCACCCGCTGGCGTGATGTCACTGACCAACACCAGTGTCAGGGACACACACACACACACACAAGACCACTCCCTTTCCAACAGCGCGGGATGTCCTCTGCGTGCAGCGGAGCAGCGGCTAGAAGCAGCGGACATCCCAGTGCCGCCCACATCTTGGCGTGGCTGTGGATGCATCCATGAAAAGCTGGGCGATGGGGACATCTAGTGACCAGCCCAGGGTTGGGGACAGGCTGCCCCCCCGGGGCGGGGGACTGCAGCCAGACAGCGTTAGGGGAGATGCCTTCCATCCCTGTGGCCAAGGAGAAAATGGGATTAAGCATTCATCCCTGCCACACCACGCAGAGATCCCCCAGCAACTCTACTTCTGCCCGCACCGGAGGCAGGACATTTCCCTTGCTAATGGAGCATAAACTGGGAATTAGCATAATTAAAAGTGACTAGCATGGATACAATAACAAACACCGGAATAACAGCTCAAAGAGAGTATGAAATTTAAAGAGTCTCTCCAGTGAAAGTCACTTTCCCTTAGGGGAAACGGTCTATTTTTTTCAGCCTTATTTTGTACTAGATTTGCAAATACAGTCTAGGAAAAAAATAAAAAATAAAATAAATGCACAAAACAATACTCCAAACAATTTTGGGAGCACAACAAGGATAAGCAGGGGGAATGGGGACCTTTGGCTGAGGCCAAAGGACTGAACACAGACCTCAACTGGCCCCTCTCTCATCAAGACCCCCACACTCCAGGGGCAGGGGGAGGCATTGGACCAATACTTTCCAGTCAAAGTCAAAATATCCCCCTAAACAACTCATTCCTAAAGAGCTTGGCTGAGTTGGTCACTTCCAGAAATGTTGAATTGTTCTGGCTGGATAACATTGCATTGTTTTGGGAGAGAAAAGCAATGTATTAAAGCTATTCTGTTGATTAATTGGGATGTTCACCTTGTACTGAATATTCACTCCAATATTAGAGATTCTTCCCAGTGGCATGGCTGTGGATGTATCATCACAGTATTTTAAGTTCATCCAAAATGGAAACCCAAGACCTATCACAAATCAAAGCAAAACATTGAGGATCCTTCCAAAGAAAGTAGCAAATCTCCTTTTGAGTCATCCCAAAGAAATCAAAGCTGAGTTTGACAAAATCCTTGTGATTTTGCTGTTATCCTTGTTGTCATCAACATGCTCCCAGGAGATGCTGCAATGGTTTCAACACCTCTTTCTCCAAACCTCACTCAAGCCCTTATGATGATGAATAAGCTGATTCCCACATCACACTGCAATTTAATTTTTTTTTTCCTTTTAAATTTGCAAAATAGCCTTGGCAATGTGACCTCCAAAGAAAAGTTGTGAAGTCAAAGGGAATGCCAGAAGGAGGGATGCTTCAGGTTGTCTTCTGCAGGATCAGAAGCTGGATTCAATGATCCTTGTGGATCCCTTCCAGCTGAGGATATTCTGATTCTGTGACTGTGCAGTGCTCCTGTGAGGTGACCCAGGTGATTGCTGCCGCTTGGATTTCCCTTGTCCCCCTGTGGCCGCATCCAGCATTCCCTGGAGCACTCCTGCTACCGCAGATCCTTGTGGCAGCTCAAGCCTTGATACATCTCAGACACCTGCCTGATGCCACAGCAATGCTCATACCCAGCCTCTTCTCCCTCACCACCTATTCCTGGGGTGGCTTTCCACAGCCTGGCTGGGTGATGGATGCCTGGCAGGGGGCTGGGGTGGGAATGGTACCGAGAGGGGGGTGTTATCCATGGGTTTGCTGGCATGAGGATGGGTGCAGAGGTATTGCTGCAGTCTGCTCCCTCTCTGCAGCAGCCCCTGAGCTTGGCTGCATCTGGCAGACCCAATCTGGCATCTGCTATTTTGAGCAGGGCTGTCTCAGTGGAGGTGGGGAACAGCACAGGGAGCACACGCAGAGAGCGGAGGAATTCAGGGCAGCCGTGATCTGCAGGCACTGTGAAAAGCCATTTCTGTGTCCAGGATGCTGTCACGCTCCTCGGCCTTCCCCAGGTGTCCGAATCCCACAGCCTTGCTGGCCTCGGGTGGATTTCTCAGTCTTGGTCAACATGATTCTGCTGCTGCTATGCCTCCATCACCTGGTGAAGAAGCTCTCCTCGTGCTCCAGCTTGTCCTACAGCCCCACAGAAGAGCTGAGAACGGCAGGATGGGCTGGCTTCCTCTGTGCACCATCCCTCTCTGAGTGGGCAGTACCCCAGGCTGCCATGGAGGGTGGTGGCAGTGGGATGTGGAGCTTTTGTCGTGACTTGCACCCCAGGGCACCGGGGTGGTTATTTTCACTGGGTCTCACACACAGATATCTCATTCTTCCAGCAGGAAAAGCATTTAGTCTAAAGCAGAGTGAGGAACAGAAGAAGATGAGGAGTGCCCCTTGCCCACAGCTGACTCACCATTTTGGCAAGTGGTTCTGTGCTTTGCTGGCCAGTTGGCGACTTGGAGTAGGCCCCGTTTGGTGCCTGCCTCCCTCCAACCTGAGCATCAGCATAAATACACGGGGGAGGTGCCAGCAAAGGCTGCCGGCTGCACCTGAGCCCCCGAGCACTCCCCACAGCACCTGTGCTCCCCTGGATGGGGAACCAGGGGATGGTCTTGAATGTGTGTGGCTGCTGGGCCACCAAAAAGGCACAGCTGAACCCAAAGTGCCAGGGAGAGCAGGGCAAGGGGTTGGAGACAGGCAGCAAAACACCTTCTGGGGGATCTGGGAGCACCTTTAACCAAAGAAGCTTGGAATGCTTTGGAGAGCTGAGAACAGCAGGGACACCTGGGCAGAACAAACTCTGAGGCTCAG